AAAAAAAAAAAAAAAAAAGACAAAACTGGATATAATTTGTCTCTAATCTCTCCCTTAATAACTACAAAGAACTCTAACAAAGAAAAAAATGGGTGGGAAAAGCTAGTTACACTTTGGTTATGTATTTCAGACGAGTCTAGCTGAATCAAAAAGGAGTGTAGGTGTTGACAATAGCGTACGCCAATCTGGGGCCATGTCACCTCATTATTACGATTCTGAGGACACGTCATTGGGAACTCATACTCCCGGTGGCAGTACCCCTATCAGATTTCTTAACAACGGGTTCGATGGTGTCACAAACGGATGCTTAAATCCCGTCAGTCTACTCGTGAAGGAGTTTGAACAAAGGAAGCAGAATTTTGATGAGGAAGCTCATGCCATTATGGAGGTGAATTCTGGGCATTTGAATTCTTCGAATCCCATAGAGGAATTCAGGAGGCTGAAACATAAGTTCGAAGCTTGGAAGAAAGACTATAAACTCCGATTAAAGGAGGCAAAGGCCAAAGTGCACAGGATGGGACATAGTGAGGCTGAGAAGCATAAAAGAAAATGGTGGGGAAAGAGAAGTAAAAGATGATAGCTATAAATGTTCTTGCTTTTGCATCGACAAACTCTTCTGTTTTTAAGGTGTTCATGGGATGAGTAGTTGAGTGTACATACAAACAGTTATAGATTTTGTTGTAGCAGGGAGCCTAGTTGAATGTGATTACTGTAGAAAGATGTTGGAAGAGATGTACTGAATATTGTTTCTCCTGTCCTGTAAGAAGAAACTCATGCCATATGAAAACCAGTATATTTGAAATAATGCAGACTTCTGTTATCTCCTCCTGTTTTTAATGTGTTTTTTTCAAGCGGGGTCTCACTATCTGTCTAAACTGTGAACGAATAGTTTAGTCTTATAAGGAACTGATAGGTCGAAACACTTCGAACCACACTATCTCAATATAAGACAAGGAGTATATTTGCATAAATAAATAAACTGCAAACATATGTACTTTGACTGAAACATGATGGCCAGATCAAAATGGAATTGATAGAATCTGCATAACATAGCTTTTACAACATATCTCTAACACTCTCTTGGTTCAATACTTAGTTGCTTAATAATAGCTCGACTTGATTTAATAAAATACGGTTCGCGATAAATAAATTAAACCGGAGATTAAACATATATATATTTATATTACACAAATATTTATTTAATATTAATACTCATTTAGTACAATTAGACAAACGATATAAATAATAATAACAATCGTAAATAATAATAATAATAATAATAATAATAATAATAATAATAATAATAACAATAATTAGCAACAATATCTATAAATAAACGGGGCATTACAGTCTACCCACCTAAAAAGGAATTTCGTGTTCATAATTGGAAAACAACTAGAAAGAACAAGAATACAAAAGGGCGACATCAAAATGAAGTTCGGTACTCTCTCCGAATCTCGGTCTTCCTCTTCCAAGTCGTTTTGCCCTCGACTTGACTTCTGCCACTAGACTTTGACGATACCCCTTTCCGGCCTTTCCCTGATGGACCCTCTGTTCCAATAGGTCACCAGTACCTCCATACAGGTAGGGTTCTGCCCATCACGCAACTCGTCACAAAACACACGTACCTCGAGGTCACACATACGTTCCTCCATCATGAGGTATATAAGTGTCATGCATCCCCGCAAGCTCTAGTTGCGGAGTCAACCATCAGGCTAAGTCATCGACTTGGTCGAGAGTCATAATAGAACTGAAATAACCTGGCCGTAGCCTCTTCTCTTACCACGAAGCTTCTCATTTCACGTGGTAACTACATTGCAATTTAGTACAACAACTCCAAACGGTAAAACCTCCAAAGTTGTTTCACTTCATTAGTCCTCCAAACAAGACTTAGGTCATTGCAATACACGTGAAAAATTCATGGAATCGATACGCATTTACACGCTAGAGACTTGGCAGCTGTGGCATGAATGGCTGGACTGGCATGCGGCTACGCGGTACACTACGTGCGGCACACTATGCACAACACTTCCTACGACTCTAGATGCATCATCGAGCGTGGCACGCCTGTACGCGGCACTAGCACGAAGTACACCTACACCACCCGCATCTAGTAGCTACTGTTCATTCCTGATCAACTATTACATCTCCCCGTGTTGATACGTACATGAAGATCGGAAATCCCCTAGTGTTTTGCAACTCTAGTCCAAACTACAACATCTAAGTATACCGACTTTACTGTCAGGGTACTTGTACTTCATCATAAGTTAATTGGCTGATTACTCACAATGTTTCCTCACAACTTCTTAGCTACCCTCCTTAAAAGACTTCTTCTAATCCATAACATTTCTAGAACTTTGTCGAAGCTCTTTCCGATCAGGTATGTGAAGACTTTCTCGTACGATCCTCCAACATAACGCTCATTTTGTTCACGAAAGAATGATTGATTTACGCCTATATCTACGCCCAGGTATTCTCGAGATTTGCAACATTATTCGCTCTCTAGAACCTCTTGTATTGATTTAAAGGTGTCATGAATCAAGATTCCTAAATTTAGAAGAACATATAAGGATCAACAGAAATGTAAGATTTTTAACTCCATCCGAAATCTCATTCTATGCAATGAAAGAAATGACAAACGAAGTTTCAAAATTACTGAAGATGAACAACTAAGAGGAGTCTGAAAACAATATTCAAACTAGTCTAGCAAGAAAAGAGAAATAAACAAGGTCTGCCAAAAGTTACGATAAATGCGATTCTAATAAAAAGGAGGAACAAATAATCAAATCCGACATTCGATCAACAGCTCAGCCTTGGTTCACCTCGGCTTCATGTCAGGCCATCGTGTATACCCGTGCTCGACCTCCTTCGCCTAACCTCGGTTAGGCCTACTGATGCTGCTGAATCTGTTGCTGAGGTGGCAGCCAAAGCTGGTGCTGCTGCTGAAAAGGTTGCTGCTGTTTCCTCCTGGGTTCGGGGCACATATTAGCATAATGTCCAAGACGTTGACAGTTGTAGCAGGTCTCCTGAGTGGCCCAACACTCTCCTGGATGGTTCTTGCCACAAGAGACACACCTCGGAACCTGACTCTGAGCCGCGGGGCAGTCGTCATGTATGTCGTACCCTCCACGCTTTCTCTTCCGGTTATCCCGGTGAAAATCATCCTTCCTCTTGCCCGAACTAGATCCGGGCGGAACAAAAGAATGGGATGAGCTTGTTGAGCAGAAGGAGTAGGGGCATAAAGAGCCTGACAACTCTCCAGCTGAATGGCACGGATCACAGTCTCGCCATAGGGAAGATTCCCCTGGCTGGTAAGGTGCATGCAAAGGGTGGGGTGAAGCCCGTCACGGAACTTGGTGGCCTTCTTCAGTTCAGTATCCACCATGTGAGGAGCAAAGGCACTCATGCAGGTGAAATCCCGCTCATACTCCTCGACAGATTGGGTCCCCTGACGGAGATCACAGAATTTGCGCTCCATTCTGGCACGGTAGCTCTGTGGGTAATACTTTACGAGTATTACCTATTTCAATCCATCCCAAGTGAGGTTGGCAAGCTCACCCGGCCTCAGCCTCCAGTAATCAGACCACCACAATGCGGCATCACCATCATGTTGGTAACGACCGCAGACAACTTTCTGTGCATCAGTGCGCTGCAGGAGATCAAATATCCGCCCGAGCTTGCGAATCCATTCTGCCACGACTGTAGGCCCTTCAACACCGGTGAAATTCGGTGGGCTCAGCCGCTGAAACTGGAGGACAACATTGAGATGATCATCAACTTGGTTAGGAACCGACTGATGGGGTGGAGGTGGAAGCGGGGGAGGCTGTTGCTGATGAGGGGGAGGTTGTTGGTTGTTGCGAGTTCGGACCATAGTTCTACATCGAATAAGCCGAGAAAGTTTAGCACAAAATATAAAATTCTAGAGTTCATCATTAAACACTAGAGTTCAAACTTAACCAAAGGTAGATAGATTCCTAAGCCCTAAAATAACAACAAGTTTCATCACAAGTAGTTTCATTGCTACTTATGCAAAAATACACAATTCACATTATAAGTATTTTAATTGATACTTATATAAACATACATTTAAGCAGTGCGGCATGACGAAGACGAGTGGTCAAACACAAGGTCACAATTCACATAATCACATAAACATGTAATTCACACATAGAGCAGTCTACAGAAACGCAGACTGGATCTGATACCAAACTGTAACGACCCACTTAGATTTTAAAGAAATTCTGGACTTTCTAAAAATCAATAAAACATTTTCCAAATTCATTTTCGAAATCATGGGCATTATTCAACATTTACATAGTCCAAGTCATGCCTGGACTCACGGGGATTCATTACCCGGTTTTTTACATGGTTTTTATTAACCGATAAATAATATTTCACATGATTATTAACTAAAAATCATAGCATGCATAATCGATTCCACGATATTCAAGTAACACATTTAATGAGAATATCCAATTTCAACCTTTCATAAGTTTGAAAATAGTTTCAAACCTGTATAAAATCAAATGAAGGTTCATAAGGACCACATAATTTTTCATCAAAGCGGAAGCATAAAACATAAATATATGACCGACCCACTCGTCTTTTCCTCGTCATGCTCGACACCTACTTAACCTGCATCCGTGAAGAAACAGGTGGGGGTGAGAACAATTGGAAAACGTGGTGCTCACCATTATGCGCGTAAATAAAAATATATGGTATGTGTTGGGATCAATGAAGATCTCGTTATGCATAAATCACGAATTCAATAGCAAAACGTAAACCTATGCCCAGCGGATCTAAAGGTTTGCGTAGAGAACTTACGATTTAAAATTTATGGTGATTTGATTGATCTTCTGGATGGCCGTAAATAGCACACAAATGAAAATTAGTCTGCAAATTGCATCCTAGGGTTGCACGAATAAGAACGGATCGAAAACTGGATCAAACGGGTGCAAAAATGGAAGAAGACAAGTTGCAGTACTGGGACACTCCGGCGGAGCGTGAGGGCGCGTGCGGCGTCGTACGACGGCGATCTCGGCGGCGTTGGAAAGATCTCGTCGAGACGGTCGTCTGGGTAACTGCACGTCTTGATCGGACCTCCGATTAGTTCTGTACGACCAAATATATTTCGTCTCACTTTACCCAAAGGTCTTCTACTGTATACCTCAAACACCTCTTAATCTTGTACCAGTGGAACAACAAGAAGAAGATAAAGCTCGAATGAGAACTGAGAGAGAGAAGAGAGGCGTGGGGCGTGATTTCCAAGATGTGGAATTCTCTTCTCTTCCCATGAGCTTAATGATGTATATATAGAGCTACAGTAGGGATCCTTAGGAGATTAGGATTAGGGCTCCTTATTTAATTAAAATACTTGTGGACGAAGCCACTTATTTTAATTAATTAAATAATATTAAATGAGCTACCAACATAATATTATTGCACTCTCTTTTCCTAGCCCAATTTACAATTGAGACTCCAATAATAATTACTCGATTTATCTCTCCATATTTAAGATATAACGTCCATTAATTAATTCGATTACTGACAATCAAGAATTAATTAATTTATTATTAT